TAGTGAGCAACAAACCCTGGATTCTGTAACAGTATGAAAAAAGCCAGCCAGGAAGGACTGTGAACCTCAGATGCTTTGCCCTCTCGGTTCCCAGCAGCCAGTGCATCCAGGGATGCCTGATAAGCAATTCTCCTGACTTCCTCAAAGGGCTGGCCATGACTAGGAAAAGTCTGACTGGCTGTGGCTGCCTGATCAGAGACTGACACTCCTCAGGGGAAAACCTGAACTCCCCCTCCCTATTCCTTAATATCTATAACCACTTGTTTAAATTGTAAAACAGGGGGAATACTAAAGCTACCCTAAGAGACTGACCAGAAAAAAAAAGTGAGGTGAGTCCTTTGAAAATACAGAAATACTACAAAATCTGCCGTGACTTTTAGTGTTCTTTGGAAATTTGGGTTTTTTTTCCTTTTTGGGTCACACCCAGCAATGCACAGGGGTTACTCCTGGCTCATGCACTCAGGAATTACTCCTGGTGGTGCTTGGGGGACCATATGGGATGCTGGAAATCGAACCTGGGTCGACTGAGTGCAAGGCAAACGCCTTACCCGCTGTGCTATCACTCCAGCCCCTAGAAATTTGGAGTTTAAATAAATAAACCCTTGATAAAAAAAAATGAATGCCTAGGCAAAGATTAAGGAGAATAAAAATAATACAGAATATATTTTGTGAATCAGCTAGGATAAATAACATGGTATTTCTTTTGAAGAAAGAAAAAACTTGTTTCTGAAAGAATAAAGCTGAAGGAGACTAGTATGCAGAAGAAAGTGCATGTATGTGGCAGAAGGCTAAGGAGAAAGGTCAAAACTGGGGGTCGCGCTCCAGTACTGTATGGTCCTGCAGGTACTCTGGAGAGCTGTCCACAGGCACAGAGCCTGAAGCAACCCCGAGCACCACTGAGAATGGCAAAAAGTTAAGAAGCAAAAAGTTTAAACTAAACCTTAATGTTAGACATGCACGTGTAAATCCACCTTTGATTTCTCTCACTTCCTAAAACAACAAAAGTATTTTTAAGACATCAGCAATAGAAGCAGATGTGTAAATTGAGTGATCTGCCTAGAAAACATTGCTTATGACTTCATGGACTTAAATGGATCTAGTCTTAAAAGCTAAGTCTTATTTACAGCCATGGAGATTTTTATATCGCTTTTGAGATCTTTGTCACTTTGAATAAATGGGTAACTGGGTATTGTTTCATAGCAATCAGTATAAGTATTTTAAACCTTTTAATATTTATGACAAAACTACTCCCAAAACAAAATTCTAAGAAAAAAACAGTGAAGTCGTGATTAAAAGAAAAGAATTATGGAATGCCTTGAAAGAGCTCCTAAATCTCCCACAATAACTATCTGTACCCTTACAGAAAGAGGAATAGATATGAATGAGGCCTAATTTATATCTTGAGACTTCATGTGTATCATAAGAAAGAAAGTTTTACCCTTAACATCTATTTGAATATTAATATTGGTATTCTAAAAGTATGCAAGCCTGCTGAAGAGTTTGCTGTGTTCAGTTCAATTCTGAATGTTACTTTGCAATGCTGTGACTCATAAAGCTGAACAGACTCCCTTGTCAGTAAGGGCACTCTTTGATCACATTCGTTTCTTTCATGTTTTTTTCATTTTGTTTTGTTTTGCTCTCAGTGCTCAGAGGTAAATCCCAGTGGTGCCAGAGATCAAACCTGGCCCTCCTGTATGCAAAGCCATGCGTCAGCCCTTAGAGCTCTCTCTAGCCCTGATTCATAATTCTGTGTTGTCAGCCTCTTGCACATCTTTCCTCCAGTGCTTGGTACTGAGGAGTCATCACAGGAGAGGAAAAATACACTAGAGTATGTCTCGAAACTGAAGGAGACATTACAGAAATCATTTTAATGAACACTAGAAACAGAGGCTTGAGATTGTCTGCATGGAAATGAATCGGCTATTGAGAATGGGCCATCTGGTGGTGCTTTGGGCTCTGTGCTCAGGGATCAGTCCTGGCAGGGCTTGGGGACCATATGGTGTGCTGGGGGTCGAACCCAGATTGGCCACGTACAAGTGCTTCAGGAATTAAGGTTAACCTCAAAGCCAAAAAAAGTGAAAACAGCCTGACACCTTGCCACTAAGGAAGGAAGGAAGGTGGCCTCTTGAGAGGCCCAGAGGCTCCTGAACAATTTAGGGAACTCAACATTAGAGGAACGGGGGCTTTTATGTGCAGAGGGGGCAGACCCAGTGATGCTCAGGGGTTACTCCTGGTTCTGCACTCAGAAATCACTCCTGACAGTTCTCAGGGGATTATATGGGATGCTGAGGATCACATACAAGGCGAGTGCCTTACTCACTGCACTATCACTCCGGCCATTTTCTCTCCTGAAGATGCATCTCTCTCTTTCTCTCCCATCACATATCTCTAATTTTTTGGAGACTTTAAATTTTTAATTAAAATATAGGGGTGAAAGAATAGAGGAGTGGGCCAGAGAGAAAATACAGGGGTAAAGCCACTTGTCTTGCATGCTGCCAAACCCATTTTGAGTATGCCAACCCACATATGCTCTCCAGATTCTCACTAGGAGTGATCCCTGAGCACAGAGCCAGACTAAGCCCTGAACACAGAGGATGTAGCCCAAAATTTTAAAAAAAGAGGAACTCCAAAATCCAAGTGTATGGGCCAAATCTTATGATGTCTCCTTAGAAAGGTAAAGGTAAAAGGTAAAGGTAAAGGCCCTCCCGTTGTTCGTCAATTTGCTCGAGCGGGCCCAGTAACGTCTCCATTGGAGACTTTGTTGTTACTGTGTTTGGCATATCGAATACGTCACGGGGAGCTTGCCAGGCTCTGCCGGGCGGGCGAGATACTCTTGGCAGCTTGCCGGGCTCTCCGAGAGGGGCGGAGGAATCGAACTCGGGTCGGCCATGTTGGCTGCGTGCAAGGCAAACGCCCTACCGCTGTGCTATCACTCTGAACCTTAAGAAGCCATTAAAAGCTCAATCTGAGAGTCTAAATCCCAGCATAAAGAATGAAACATAAAGGGAATGCCCTGCCACAGAGGCGGGGGGATGGGGGAATGGGGGTGGGAGGGATACTGGGATCAGTGGTGGTGGAAAATGGGCACTGGTGGAGGGATAGGTACTCGATCATAGTATAATTGAAACCCAAGCACAAAAATTTGTAAGTCTACAATTGTACGTCATGGTGTTTCACTAATAAAAAAAATTTTTAAAAAGAATGAAACATTTGAATGGTTATCTGTTCTTACTGCACTTATTCAAAATAGCTGGCTGAGATCATTATGACGGAAATTCATCAACAAAGATTCAGTTTACCATGATTATATGACAGAAATGCAAGATGCTGCCTGACGGGACCTCTACTCCCCACCAGCCCCTGCCCTTTCCTGCTTCTGCCTGTGTTCCTCTACCAGCTCGTGATCATCCCCAAGCCTCAATGTGAGAATCCAATGGGCAAAAGTCCAGCCTATTCTCATATTGCCAGCACCTGAGTAAACCTGTTTCTAGCACACTGACTCTTGTGTCCAGAATATTGACCTTCAAGTGGCAAGCAACCAGACCGTGGCTTCGGTAACATCGTGCCCTATAGTTTTACCTTTAGCACTGACATCCCTCTGTTCGTGCCTTGCTGAGTCATACCCAGTGTCCTCACAGGAAGTAGTAACCATCCCTTCCAAAGAAGTCGATGTTTTCTTGGCCTCCCAAAGGTTCTAAACCCAGTCACCTCAAACACTAAAAATAGAGAAGAGGATTTTCTCTTTTTTGTTTGGTTTTGCTTTTGGGGTCACACCCAGAGATGCACAGGGGTTATACATGGCTCACCTACTCAGGAATTACTCCTGGCGGTGCGCCAGGGAACATATGGGATGCTGGTATTTGAACCCAGGTCGGCCACATGCAAGGCAAACGCCCTACCCACTGTGCTATCGCTCCAGCCCCTAGAAGAGGATTTTCTTATCCTCCATTGGTTCTCCCTCACAACGTTGTCATCCTTGCCTATGTCCCTGAATTTCTCACTCTGCCCGCCTTTACTTCTGAGAATCCCCAAGAACAGCATTGTGGTGCGTGTGTACACTGAAACTGAGAGGCCGCTTGCTACTCAGAACTTTTCGCAGTGAGTGGTCCTTAATTCCCTGGCCCTCTAACTCCAAATGTTGCCTTTCCTAACGACCCAGTGACTGGCTGCAAAGACTGGAAATAGGAAAGCCAGCTGGATCAGAAAGGGAGGCTTAATTGAGCCATGCCCCAAATGCTCCAGGGCTTGGGCAGAAGAAGGGTGGTCACTAGCAGGATGCTGCTGTCTCCTGTGCCAGGGCCAGCTAGCTAGACTATCGGGGGTCCCCCAATGTGAAGCCAGAGCCATGCCTCAGGCACTCTTGCCTGCAAACCTGTTTGAGCCTGCTGTGTTCCCACAGCACTCCCACAATTAACTGTAAGCAGGATAATGGCATCTGGGAACTGTTCTGACCACCAGTCTGACTTGGAGGAGATATCCACTTTGTTACTTCAGCCAGAACTGTAGCTTTGGGATTTGCCACTCACCTCTCCCCCAGATCTTAATGATAACCAGCTGCAGGGGGGTGTCTCACCCACGGAGGGAGGTCCCAAGCAGTGCTCAAGTGACCGTGGTGGCTACATCCAGCAATACAAGGTCAACTGGGCTGTGGGTCAATGTGAGAGGCTGAGGATACAGTGCTACTAGGACCCTGCAGTTCTCAAGTAGTGTTTGGGGGGCTGCAGGGTGATGGCCAGAGATGCTCAATGGATAATGTGCCAGTGATCGAACCAGATCTGCTGCATGCAAGTCATGTGTCAAAACCTAGTACTATCTGCCAAGTTCTATGCCCCATCGCTTCTTACCTGCAGTACTGGAGTTACTTCCCAGCTCTTCGCCCTGCTTCCAGCCCATTCTTCTCATGGCAAGGACTAGCACACATGTGGGTGGACAGTGGGTCCCACCAGGGTTGTAGCCCCTGCCATCCCTCCCCTACACTGAAGTAGCAAGATGGTCCTTACCTGCTGGCCTTGCTGTCTAGTTCCACCAGCTTCTCAGTTCCTCCGCTCTGCTGCTCTGCAGTACTGAGGTCCACAAGCTTCGGGGTGGGTGCATCTGCGTCTCCTTGGCCATCTCTTGGGGCTTTGGGCCTCTCCTGCCAGGCCTCTTCCACTTTGCTGGCCACCTTCTTCTCCTCAGAACCAGTCAAGGCGCTAAGGAAGAACGAGCAGCTTCATGGATGAGTTTTGGGACCAACCCTGGGTTGCCCGCCACTCATAGTCCAATGGGCTTGGGTTCCCAAGAGAGGGGCAGAACTAGACTGTTGACAGCAGAACCCTGGCTTTTCAGAAAATGAACTTTTTGGATTTCTGCTCACAAACACCTTGATTCTAGCTAAGCCTGACTTGAATCGTCCCAACCTCTGCAGCCAGCTGAAATACCTGGTGGAGCTATCCTGAGACAAGATCATATCATCAGCTACTTCCAGTCATGGGTCTCTTAATTCGGGAATATTAATCCCATAGTAGGTAGTTCCCTGCCTTCAATCCACAATAAAAAGGGAAGCAGTGACCACAATTTTTGGAGAGGCTGCCCCAAAAGTAATCTGACTCTTTAGCTTCAGGACTAGTGACTAAAAACACAAACGCTGGGGCTGGACGTGGCCCCAGCTTGTAAGTGGCCAATCCGGATTTGATCCCCGGCATCCCATATGGTCCCCCAAGCCCCATCAGGAGTTATTCCAGAGTGCAGAGTCAAGATTAATCCAGGAGCATTGCTTGGTGTGGAAAAAAACCCCAAAAGGTCCAAACAGGCACAAGAAGGCAATCAGCACATTTCACTGCGCTTGTTAAAGCTTCACAGCTCATTGTGATGCTTCTATCCTGAAAGTTTAGTTCCCCATCCAGACACCACAGGTGGCATGCTTGGGAAATGCCACTCCTTTAGCCAGACTGATCTACCAGATTGAGCCACAGACAATCCAAGAAGCATTACCATGCATGAACTTAATCATGGTTCCATCCTATGTCCCCTAAAATATAATCAATATTTTCCCACCAATCTTGTGAATGAAGCAAAGTGAACAGTGGGCCAAGTGGATGAATTCTAGGCCTCCGAGCAGAGTCACAATTATAGGAGAATTTAGCTACCAACTGATGAAAAGGAACTCTTACGAAAACAGCCGCAGGTGACTAAACAGTGCAATAGCTCAGAGGTCTTCCAGGGCCCCAAATCATTGAGACAAGCACACTAATAATTCTGGTAGTAATCAAAGTTGATTTCCAGAAGCATGACAGAGACAGACTCTACCAATTCTCAATCAATTACACTCTCTGCATCTCTTGCACCACCTCATTGCTTTACCGATGTTGCTTGCACTCTTAGGTGTGCTCCAAGTTCACCTGCTCCTCAAGCATAATGAACTGATGTCTGAGGAGTCCAGTCTTGCAACACAACAAAGAGAAAACAGTACATTCTTCAAATTTCATTTCTAATAACAGAATTTAGTGGAGAGAGGATGAGCTAGAATCCGGTTGATGAAATCACACCAATAAAACTGGTAAGGGGTATTTTGAATCCGTCCAGTGCCAGAAACTGCCCTACGTGCTTTACACAAACCAATTAACCTCACAACAAACCTACATGTCAGAAACTAATATCACCACTAATTTACAGCTGAGAAAACCATAGCACAGGGTAGATGAGTAAGATGCTCAAGACCACAAAGTGAGGTACAGAATTTAGATTAGAACCCCATCAGTGCTCTTAATCATTCTGCATATTGCCTCCTGTTAGTGTACTGCAGAAATACAAAGGGCAATTTAGGACATCCCCACGGTACAGCTGCATGTCCACTGCCCCCGGCAACACACACCCCCTTCCTTGCTCACACAACTCTTAGGGGGTCCCTAACGGTTGAAGAATCCGAGATCCCATCCCAAACGCCAAAAGCTGTGACCTCGGAGGCTGGAGTGATAGCACAGCGGGTAGGGCGTTTGTCTTGCACGCGGCCGACCCGGGTTCGATTCCCAACATCCCATATGGTTCCCTGAGCACCGCCAGGAGTAATTCCTGAGTGCAGAGCCAGGAGTAACCCAAAAAGCAAAAGAAAAAAAAAAGGCTGTGACCTCTGCGCAGCTCTTAAGCCTAGTGTTCACTGGATACCCGGGCCAGTTCCTCCCTATCCACTGCCACGCAGGACCTGGTGGCAGTAGGCACCTGTGGCCGACATTGGACCCTACTGCGCCACTGCTGCCCACTGGATGATGCGGAAGGGCAGCGGGACCCAGAGGCGCCGAGAACTGATGGCGAGGCGGCGGTCCATTTGCGATCCTCGCGCGCCACCTGCAGGCCGAAGCCGGCTTGGCCGCGGGCGAGCAGCACCGAGGCGCTTCGCAGCCGGGGCAGCCATTTCGCCTTGTGGACGGGCGCATCTCCCGAGATGCTTTGCAGCCCGAGCTCCGGGCTGCAGGACATGGCGGGCCGCACAGGCGCACTCAGCTAGATCCGGGGGTCGCCCAGAGAAGGGCGCGCACGCGCGCTCCCACCTCGCCTGGGCGGAAGTGATGGCGTCTAGCTCCCCGCCCCCTGGAGAACAGGTGTAATTGCTCTGCAGCCGCCCCCTTTTCTCGCGCAGTATTACCAGGCTTCCCCCATACATCGCGATAACTCTAGGCAGAACAGTGTTTCCCACTCTCAGCTTTCTCAGTGGGGAGACGTGCCGGGTGTACGCGGTTGGGCAGCATCCCTGATCCCCACCTCCCAGCTGCCAGGAGCACCTCCTCCCGATCCTGACGACAGTCTCCAAGTAGTGTCTCCAGTCATTGCCAAGGGACCGCCTGCGAGGTGGGGAAGGTGCCTCTTGTTTCAAACTATTACCCTAGGCAGTGCTTTTCACACTAAACTGGACATGAGAGCAAACTGGAAGCTTTTAAAAATATACTGATGGCGAAAGCCCACTCAGAACAATTAAAGTGTCCGCATTGGGGCTCAGGAAGCTGGTTTTCAAAGCATTTCCTGGGCGGTTCTTCAGTACAACCAGAATTATTAAACACTGCGATCAAGAAAGTTGTTCTTGGGGCTGGGATGTGGCTCAGTGCAAAGCACATACCTTTATATGCATGTAACCTGGGTTCAATTCCCCTGCACCACAAAACAAAAATTATGCATAAAAGAAAGTTTTGTCGATTTTGCCAAGTTTTACACCTCAGAAGGAAGTTGTTCTGAGCCTAGGCTCACCAACTTGGTCAGATGTGGGATCTATGGCTAACTCTCTGCTCACAGGATTGGTTCCTCAGTTTCCTCTACAATCAGTTTGCGTTAAAAGGTGCCATATCCTTGCTATGTTTGGGGAATATTAGGTGAGATCATGCACAGAGAGTGCTTTTTAAGAAGCTGACAGTTTGTTGTTCTGGGTTTTGAAATCCGGCTCCAAAAAACAGATTTCATAAACTTTTCTAACAGTTTTTGTCTGAGAGCATCTTGCCTTGGAATTCAGTTCCGCCATTTGTAATGTCAGCATTGCACAAATCATGTAACTGTTTTATGCCTCACTTCGCACCATCTTATCCATTTCATGCCACTGCTGGGGAAAATGTAGAGCACTTAGAAGAGTGCACAAGAGGTGTCTGTTATTGTTTCACTCTATTAAAGTGGCAGTGAAATTTTAAGCCCCAAATCCACACGATAAGCCTCTTAGAACCTTAAAGATCCATTGCCCCGTCAACCTCCCCACACTAACCACCGCCCCCCCCCCCTCCAATTCTGGTTTAAGTAGAGTGGCTGTAAAATTGTCGGGGAAGTGCTAAATTGTACCCATCTTTTAAACACCTAAATCTGACCATGTTCATCTTTGGTTAAAACTTGAAATAAAATTCAAACTGCATATTATGACTTTCCAGAACTCAGATCCATCTCCCTACCTCTTGGGCTCCAAGTCACTCTAGACCGTGGAACAAATAAGCACACTTGCTCTGCAGTTCCTTCTCTGCAGCTCATCTCTCCTTGTTCGTTCTAGAGTCAGGACTTCGGGACCTTACCTGTGTGACCCCCTCCACCTGGGTAAGAACTGGCCCTCCGTACCCCCATCACTCGACCTCTGCTCCCTGTTTCTTTCCAAGTGCTATTCTTCCCAGGAACCACAGACACCTGGATCTTCATTCTAGCTTAGGTACAAATCTCAGGGACAATAGTGTATGGGAGGAAAGTGAGGGACTAAGGATAGGGCTCCATTTGTCCCTGTCGCGTGCTAGTGTAGCCCAATGGCATCTGTTCGCTCTGGGAACATGAAGGGCCTCAAACCGATCGTTCATGATCTTAAGTGATAAGTGATTAAGGATAGGGCTCTTGTGATCATTCTCATATGAAAGACTAGTCAGCTCCTTCCTATCTTGACAAGAGTGTTCCACTGCCCGCAGCCCCGTGCCAGCCATACTCAGCTACATACAGTGTCTGGAAAGCACCAGGATCTTTAGAGTGCTTTGCTCAGAGAGCTCCTAATCACTTTCAGGTTTCAGCTCAAAAGCCACCTCCCTACAAAGCCATCCTGTGGTCACCTGACCCTCTTCCAGCACTAGCATGTTCTACTCTGGGTTTGGCTGTGCTTCCTGCTAGCTGTCGCTGATTTGTCTTTGTGCTCCAGCTTCTGGCACAGGGCAGGTGGCATCTGAGCGGTTACTGACTGAAAGAGTGGGTGGCTTCCTGGTTATGGAGCAATCCTGGCTGGAGGCAACAAGGTGCAGTGGAAAGTTCGGTGGCCCTCAGAGACAGAGAACTGAGGCTTCCAGCTGGGCCTTTAGCCCTCACCACAAGGCCTGAGGCAGCTCATGGGCCATGCTGGCCTCACCTTCATGCCAAGGGCAGTGTACACCTGAGCCACGTCTCTGCACCTCAGAGAAGCTCATCACAGATGACAGATGCCTTACCCTTTCTCCTTTGCCTCTACTTCCTCCAGATCAGCTGGGCGGTCACTCTTCCCATCAGAAGATGGATGGATGGCAGAGGTCCCGGTGGCATCAGAACTAAAGGCAGAAGCACATGGGGTCCATGAAGACCTCAGATGGATGGGGACTGGGGGCCCAAGACTTTCTTTCTTGGCTACCATCTCCCATTAATATGGTCCAGAAGACCTTGTGCGTGACAATACTGAGTGAGCCCTGACCATGGCTTTAACCCTTAAGTCCAAGGCCAAGCAATACCCTAGAATAGTTCCCTCCTGGTTTGGGGCTCTCGTCTGGGATTCTGTGGGAGTCCCAAAAGATCACTTGCTCCATTAACACGTTCAACAGAAAAATGGCAGCCGCCATGGGTGAGTCAACGGGCATTATCTGGCATGCACAGCCAAAGTGCATTGCAATCATGCAATCGTGCATTGCAGCTTCATGAGCCTGGAGCCACGCACCCCCTGCTCAGCTACACCTGCCTCCTGCGTCTGAGTTCCCTCGCTCTCTTCTCTGGGGTTCCTCCCCGGCTTCTTCTTGGTGGCCTTGGTTGCAGTCTTTGTGTGTTGTCTGGGTGTCCTGACTTATTGCCTAGTGGGTGAGCCCAGATCCAGATCAGAACCTCTCCCAGCCTGCCCTGTCCTGTCCTGGTCATCTGATGGGAAGGAGCCATATGTAGCCGAGGGTGTCCTGGGCTGCTACAGCTGAGACTGAACCCTAAAGGCCATGTCTGATAATGGGTCTGGTAACTGGGCAGTCACTACAGCCTTACCTTGTAGTCACTGGCCCAGGCCTGCGGAGCTGAGAGTTGGCACCATGTGCGTCCTGGTTATCCAAGAGAGAGGTGAAGCCAGCAGCTGAGCACAGCCTGCAAGGGGGCCAAGCCCAGTCCAGGTTCAGCATTTTGTTTCTGTATGACTATCCCCTCCCTAGAAGGGGGCTTCCATCCTTCACAGAGGACAGTAGCTGAGGAAATGCTCAAATAGGTACTTTGGGCACAGAAGTCACTCATATCCCATGGCTGCCTGTGGTCATTCCATGCTCCATGACAAAACATTGCTGCCTCCCAGTTGTGTGTTCTTGGGCATACTACCTGACCTCTTTGATCATCCATGAAATGGATCTAGTAACTCTTTTTTCTTCTTGTATTTTCTGAGCAGTGTGAGTGAGTCAATTAATGGCAAGTGCTTAGAAGAATGCCAAGGATTTCAATTATTCAATGATCAAATACCCATCCCTCCACCCAAGCACAAAATTTGTAAGTCTACAACTGTACCTCATGGTGTTTCACTAATAAAAATTTAAAAAAACATAATGCCCAAAAAGTAGAGAGAGAGTATTGGGGAAATTGTCTACCATAGAGGCAGGGTGAGGACTGGGATGGAGGGTGTGTTGGTTACTGGGGACATTAGTGGTGGAAAATGGCACTGGTAGAGGATGGGTGTTCGATCATTGTATGTATGGCTGAATCTCCAACATGAAAGCTTTGTAACTGTATTTCACGATGTCTCGATAAAATTTTTTAAAAAAGAAAAAAAAGAATGCCAAGGAGGTGATAGGTTTCTGGTATCATCACTGGACCTGATGGCTATTTCTAGAAGATGCACCCTTTTGTACGTCAAGAGTATACATGGCTTGAGAGAGACTTGGGGGTGCTGTTTAGCCAGTCTTACCAGGATGAGGTTGGACTCACTGCTCATAGACCACAGCAGACTCCTGCCTGTCCACTCGGTAGCAGTCAGCAGGAAGAGTTCCTGTGTTTCTGCCCAAAGCCCATTGTCCTTGCAACCACACTCACAACTGCAATGATTAAGTCAAAGCTGAGCAGAAGAGGAGAGTGGTTGTCTGTTTCCATGGAAACCAACCTTACTTTCTTTGGGAATGACAAAGCAAATTTCTCAAAATATTATTAACAAAATAAGGATGAGCAAGATAAGACAACTTTAAATTGTTTTGTTTAAAATCCTCTTTACCCAAAAGAGAAGAGAAAGAGACAGACAAGTAGAGATGGGGAGAGACAGAGACATAGAAAGAGACAGAGAGAAAGAAACAGCCACAGCGGCGGGGGGAAACTGGGACCATTGGTGGCGGGAAATGTATGCTGGTGAAGGGATGGGTGTTGGAACATTAGATGACTGAAACCCAACCATGAAAAACTTTCTAACTATGTATATGACTGTGATTCAATTTTAAAAATTACAAAATTAAAAACTAACTTAAATCCTCTTTGTAAAAAGGTCTTCTCCCACAAACCCAAAACCATAACAATCCAGAAGCTCACTCTTCAGATGGGTTTCAAATTCCTTGGACAGTTGGGCTCATGGTAAGGCAGCCAAGCACGGAAAGCAGAGAGAGGACGCCTGAGCCAGGGGGATGAGCAGGCAGGAGGCACTATCAGCCCTGCCTTCCGTGAGAGCCACCCAGAGGCCCGGGCCGAGCAGCCTATCCTCGGGGCTCCGGGACAATGGCCTGCTACCCCCTTCCCCTGTGTCTCCAGGCTCCTTTATTTGGAGGCCAGGCTTTGGCTCCAGGCGACAGTGGCAAAATAGTAAAGGCCACCCGTGGTCGGGAGGGCCGGTGGGAAGGCAGCTGGCAGGAGCTTGGGGAAGCAGGTTTGCCAATCCTCTCTGACCACACTCCTTCTGCCCCGAGGATGACTCATGCTTGGTTTGGAGCCGCTTGGGCACAGGCGGGACCTAGGCACTCCCTGAAACATCCCAGAAAGTGGCCCCTGACTCCACCCAGGTCTGGGAAGCCTGTGGCCTCTTTCTCTCGCCGGGGTGCAGGTGTCCCCCACTGCTCAGCCTTCGGGGTGTCGGAGGGGAATGGAGAAAGATGTTCCTAAGCCCCTCCTCAGGGGACAGGGGACAGGAGGAGCAGGGCCACAGCAGTTAATGCAGCCAGGACAGCTCGAGCGTGGGCCACTCCCCTCACTCCCCAGAGCTGAGCCCCAGGCACGCCTGCGTGTGAGGAGCCCGCAGCTTCGTTTGTTTGAGGTTTGGGTTTGGGGGCACACCTGGCAGTGCTCAGGGGTTCCTCCTGGCTCTGCACTCAGGTATCACACCTGGTCATGTTCGGGGAACCACTTAAGATGCCAGGGATCTAACCCAGGTCAGCTGCGTGCAAAGCCAGCGCCCTACCTGCTCTTCTATGATCCAGCCCCTTTTCCTTTTTTTTTTCAAGTTTTGGTTTTGGGTTTTGAGGCCACACCTGGTGGTGCTCAGGGATTACTCCTGGTAGGCCCAAGGGACCATATGGAATGCCTGTATCAAACCAGGGTGGGCCGCATGCAAGGTAGGTGCCCTACCACTGAACTATATCGCTGGCCCCATGGCACCCCATGGCTCTGCAGCCCCTGTCCTGCCATGGGCCGTGCCTGGGATCTGCTGAGAAGCCCTCATCGGCGCTGAGGCCATGTGTCTAGCTGGGATGGCCTGAGAGTGGGCCTCCAGGACTGGCAAGCCGGGCTCTCCGCCCGTGTCCTGCTCTGCTCCAGCTAGAGCCCAGAGACAGACAAGAGAGCAACATGCCAGCAGAAGCCTCGGCCGTTTCCCTGCTCGGCTCCAGCTCGAACGAGGCATTTGGGGCATCTGCTGTAGGCTCCCTGCCAGCACATGTCCCCTTTCGTCCTCCCAGGGCTGAGTCTGGCTGCAGGATTCATCAGTCACTGTCACTGGGGTCACGGAGGCAGAATGGAGTCTGTGCTGCTGCCCGGACTTACCTCTCAGGCTCTGCTTTCACACTCGGGAAGTCCTCACCGGCCAATTCCTTCTGGGGCACCTTCTTCAAGGGGACAAGGGATGGTCTAGGAAGGAAAGACACTTCCGCTGATGGGATGGCATCACCCACACTCCAGCGGGGGTGGGGGAGGGTCCTCCATTTCTGCATGGGATCTTGGAGCCCATGGGCAGGACTGGCGACATTTCCAAGTGTCATTAGGAAGAGCCACTGGGAATGAGGCTGAGACCCTGTCCTCACCACCTGGGCCGGGGCCACTTTCCTGATGAGAACCCACAAGCAGCTCGTCCCTGAGGTCCAGAGCTAATGGGTCCAAATCCTCCAAGAGGCCAGACCAACCCGAAACTTCTAATTCAAACTCTCTGCTCCCCTCGAGCTCAGCAGGGAGCCTGGGGTGTCCAGGCAGGTTACGGAAGCCCTGCTAGCCACCCAGGGCAGCAGATGCAGGACTGCCACCGCCTTGACAGTCGCCCCTATAGCACGTGATAACCTGAAGGTGGCCAGGTGCGGCCTTCAGGAATTGAGAAAGAACACGGCAACAGAGGGACAGCAGGGCGAAAGGCCAGGAGACGGGAAGGGGCAGACGCGGGAGCTCTGAGTGGCAACGATGGCAGGAGTGCCCAGACTGGACTATGCAGAGGGAAGAAATGCAGGACACACGGACCATGTGTGGCCAGGAAGAGGTCAGGAGTGACCTTCAGGAGGGAGCCTGCTGCAGAATCTGCTGCTGGGAGCTGGGGCCAGGCCAAAGGGACCGAAATAACTCTCAAGTAGAACGGACAGGACACGGAGGAGCCGAGGACTGTTATTAAGTGACGTAGAGATTTCTGGAATTCGCTCTGACTGTCACCTTCTCCAGGAAGTCTTCCCCTCAGCAATTCCCCACAGGCTCAGGGCTCAGTGACTGTTAGGTGGAGTCCTGGCTGAACTGCCCGGCCCTCCCAAGTTGCACCCACCTCCCTGTGTATGTCCCCAGCGCCTAGCCCAGGGCTGACCCCCTCACGCAGGCAGGCGATTGACCCGAGCCTGAGTTCCCACACAGCACAGCCGGCTGCCTGTGTGCCCCCAGCCCAGCCCCGGACTCCCCTCTCTCCAGCGCTGTGAGAAGCTGGAGGCGACCTCCTTACCTCATTCCTTCCTGGGTAGTGATCTGCAGGCGGACAATCTCCTCTCCTCTGGCATTGCTGCGGGAGAGAGCCAGAGCGGGAGTGGGAGATAAGAGCCCCCAACTTTCTCACACCACCCCCAAGCCTGATGCCTCTCTTCTGCTCCGGTTACCACTTTCCCTTAAGCAGCAGGGCCCCCCAAACTAGGCCCCTCTCCGAGTCTCCCACCTGGTGAAGACCTTAGGGGTGGAAAGGGGACCCCGCAGTTCTCAGACAATTGATGGCAGCTGCCCGGGGCGCCCAGCAGGCTCAGTTCAAGGTCACTGGGGAATGTGGGTTTGCACGGTGACAAAAGCCGCAGGGGGAAAGAGAGAGGGCTGGGTGGGGGAGAAGTCCTGGAGCTCAGAGCCACCAGCCCCCCAAAGTCTGATATGCACTGCCTGACGCTTGATGGTGGCCCGGGGCTGGAGACACTGGAGCAATCTGGCTTGTGGGGGACCCTGGACCGCAAACACGCCTCACCCAGTCCACAGTGAGACCTGAGCACCCTTCAAGCCCATCCAGTCAAGTGCCAGCCACTCGGGGCCTCTTCCCACTGCGGGCGCGCCAATGGCAATGAGTCCCCCAGCCCAGTAGGGGCAGAGAGCCTGGGGGGTCCACCTACTAAGGCGGGGGCTGCACAGATCCAGCCCCGGGGCCCCCAAGGAGCTTCCTCAGCCCCAGGGAGAGAAGGTGGGAGACAGTGGACAGAATCTGAGAGCTTGCTCACTTTTGCACAGGGAAGCCACGGGTCAGGCTGGCGGGGATGGGGGGGGCGACCCGTAGGGGAACCTCGCCATGTTCTGTCACCTGCCACTCGGTTCCAGCAAAGACAGAAGCCTTGGAGGGCCAGGCCTTGCCAGGCCCCCTTCCTGAGCATGAGCATAAGCGAAGCGAAGGCCAGACCCCTCCCCTGGGGGTGGCAGCCACAGCCAGCCACCTGCCCCAAAAGCACACGCGCCATGCAAAGTGCCATGCCTCACCCAGAGAGTCACAGGAACTACTCAGATCTCAGCACTACTTTTGAGGAACCAAGCACTGCCCCAGCTTCCCGAAGCTGCACTGTAGCACTGTCCTCCCATTGTTCATCGATTTGCTCGAGCGGGCACCAGTAATGTCTCCATTGTGAGACTTGTTGTGACTGTTTTTGGCATATTGAATACGCCACAGGGAGCTTGCCAGGCTCTCTGCCCGAGCTGTTCCCTTCTTTTCCACTTCCTACTTTTTCAGCCCCCTGAAAGTTCTGCCTAAAGACCCAGCGCAAGAGGGGGCTCTTGTCTCCCCCAAACAATATGGCTGGAGTTCTAACCAGGGGGATCTTTAAAAGTGCCCTTTAGGGACAGGGGCATTGCCGACGACGCCCCATTAGGGTGGCCCTGATGCAAAATGAGAAAAATGACACGTGCCTAAAGAGCCAGGAGCACTGGCAGAAGCCAATGGAGAACACAAGTGGTGTCAGGTGACACAGGAGCTCCGAATGGTCTGGAACACACTCCACACTAGTTTAGTTGTTTTTTCAGAGCTTTGAGTTGTTTTTTTTTAATTTTTTCTGTCATAATACTTTTAGAACAGTTTTTGCTCTACTGCTGCTTTAAGGCCTCAGTTGCTGGCAACTCACTACATTGGATCTCACAACCTCACGCATGGGCCTTCCAGCCTCTCACACAGGCCCCGCCAGTCCCTAGATCACTGGGAGCCCATTTGGAACCTCAAGTTCTTGGTGAGACCGCAGCTTCTCAGGACCAGGGACGCACACGCGGCTCCCAACGCTCCCAAGTGCTCACCACTCAGCCCGTTGGGGGCGCCCGGTCACGCGCCAGTGCAGCCTGCACCCGCATTTCCCCCAGGGGCCAGCAGATGGCGCTATCTATCGCCTGTGCTGAAAAGCTTCGGCCCAGGCCGGGCGCAGTTCATACGCCACATAGCATTCATGTGCATGTGCGTAAGCAATGGGACCCAGGTGTCGCAGCCCTTTCTTTACATATGGGAAACTAAGGCATGGAGAAGGTTCAAGGGCACATACTTCTCCCCCACTGCTCCCAGCTGCTCTGCCAGGCGTGGTCCAGGCCAGCGGTCAGACCCTGCCCTGCCTGCATGGCTGTAGGGGGCAGAGAGCCAAGAAAGCCTGACCAGTGCTGGGCGGGGCAGCTCTCAAGAGTGGGGATGGAGTACCCGAGAGGGGCCAATTCAGAAGTCACCCCAGTGGGGAGACAGTGCGGCGGGCAGGGTGCTTGATGGCACATGGCTTTCTCGGGTTCAGTCCCTGACATCCCATATGTCCCCTGAACACCGCCAGGAGTGATTCCTGAGTGCAGAGCCAGGAATAACCCCTGAAGATCTCCAGGTGTGTCCCCAAAACAATAAAAAACAGAAGTCACCTTGGATTTGCACGCAGGAGACCTGGGATCCATCCCCAGCACTTATGGTCCCCGGAGCACTACCAGGAGTAACCCTGAGCCAGGAGTAACAACTGAGCACCACTGGATGTGGTCCCCAAACCAAATTTTTAAAAAAAGGAGGCCCTGGAGTGCACAGGGTTACCCTCAACTGCAGAGCAGGTATCGGGGTGGGGGATATAAGCTTGACCCTGGAGACCAGTAGCTCTGACATAGACATTTGGGCCTGGAGATGCCTTGGGAACTGGAGTTGCAGGCAAATAGGGGGCCCAGAACAGCTCCAAGGGCATCCTTGTATGACCCTCTTCCTATCCCAAATGTGCAGCCCTCCCTAAAGTCCCTAAGACTGGTCCAAGCTCCACCGGTGGCCTATTCCAGAACTGAGGCACTGACCTTCAATAGAGTCAAAAGGTAAGGGCTGGACAGGCCTGTCCCAGCTGCCTTTAAGCAGGATCCCCATGGGACGGGCCCCTTTAAGGATATAGTCAGGCCCAGTAGCCCAGGGCTGATGGGGGGACCCTCACCCCCGCAAAGGCTTGCTGGGTAACTGTCTGGGCAGGAGGTGGGCGGTGGTGATCCAGAATCTGAAGGAATCACCCCAAGACACATCAAGCTGAGTGTGGTGACACATCTCCAACATGTGGAACATGCGTGATCTGGCCCCGGTTCTGTCTCCTGAGACCACAACAGACCAAGTCTGACCTGGGCCTTCAGGTCTCCAGAGCCTCCGTCTCTGCTTTGAGGCCCTTTGCTGTGGTCCTTTGCTGCGGCAACGCGAGCAAACTCAGACAGCCATGGATGACGGGGATCAAATCATCCGAAAGAATGTTCGAGCGCGTTAACATGCCTCTCAAATCCATAATACAGCACGATGCTGTCATCCTCTGCTCTTTTACAAAGCACCCAAAACCAGTCACTGCATTTTTCTTTTTCAAAGGAGAACTAAGAAAAAAAAAGAACTGGATAGTGCCTCTGGATGTGACCTTATTTGGAAATAAGCGGCTGCCGCTGTGATTGGCTGTTTCCACAGAGGGGGCTATGCTGCAGGAGGGTGGACCTCAATCCCCCGTGACTGGGGTCCTGGGAAGAAGAGGAGATCGTGACCCAGACTGGCAGAGGAACACGGGGAGAGCAGAGGCCTGGAAGGAAGGCAGACTCGCAGCTGCAGAAGTGGGAGGTGATGCATTTCTGTGGTTTGAACCCCCAGTTTGTGCCCTATCCCTGAGACGGCCCCCAAACCCCAGCAGTGCATGAGAGCCATACATACTAGCCAGCCCCGACTTTGCTCCTGCAAAAGCTCCTGCGAACGAGTCACAGTGAGGGCACTCAGGGGCCTCCTCGGCCTCAACTGTCCAGCTGGGAATGCCTGGATCAGGAAAGCTGGAACTAGGGGCCCCCCAAGTGACCTGGAGGGACAGAAGCTGGGCCCCTCTGGCCTTGGGGTCTCCCCGAGGTGCCAGGATGGCACAGTTTTCAGCCAGCTCCAACACAATTCAGCCCCAGGACAACAAGGTATTGATGGCTCCCCTGCTAGACAAGAGAGCCCCATTATGTGTGCGCAGGACACTCGGGCCAGAAACAGGGCAAACCAGGTCATCCCAGCACTCACTTTTCCCTGCCCCTCACCCCACACTGGACCCTCCCGAGGGACCAGCTCGGGCCTGGCTCCGAGCCTCCTTGCAGCACCCACCTGGGTTCCCGGCTCCCGGAGGGGCAGGCCAGGCCCGGCAGGCTGGGCGGGTGTTCAATCCAAATAGCCCGCGACACCCTGGCTCTGACTCCATCCACACTGGCAAAGAAGGTAGCTGTGAGCCGAGTGGGGTGAGGGGGGAGCCTCCCAGCCAGCTAGGGGAGGAAGAGCATAGGCCAGCCTCTGGGACAGCTGTGGCCATGGCCCAGAATGGTAGGTTCTTTGCTGGCAGGGGCCCCTCGCCTCCCATGGCTGGCGTTTCCTCTCAGCAGGTCACCCCCAAGGGTTGAGGTGACACAGATAGTCACCCACAGACAGGAGAAGGTGCACTCTCTGGAGGCCAGGCTGATTTGCTCCTCTCAGCCCTGGGACATCCAGCCAGATGGCCCTTCTCCTTCTGTGGGACCGTCTCTGTCACTGGGCACACAGGGACAGTGACCCTGAGGCCAGGCTTGGAGTGAGCTTGTGACTGGCAGGCATGGGCCATGGATTACCTGCTCGAGCCCGGAGTGGAGCTTGTGGGTGAAGGTAGCTCCCGTCTCTTCTCGGAAGACCCGTCCTCATCCACCACCTCAACTCTGTGGACAAGATGGTGTATGTGCCAGCCGCCCCGGCATGCCCCTGACCAACACATTCACTCAGCGTCGCCCCACAAATCCACTCCCCTGGGACCTGAGACACAGCCAACTTTGGAAATGGTCTTGGCTAATGGAAGTGACTGAGGGTAAGGGGGAGGAGCAAACAGGCACAGAGTGGTCGTGGGCACTGAGATCCAAGCTTCCCCCAGAGGCCAGGAGAGTAGTCCACGGCAGACTGGCCCTTAGGTTCCTGTTGGTGCTTTGATCTTGGCCTCCCAGTCCCGCCCTGGCAGACAGGAAGTGGATACAGTCCGAAAGTGCATACAGGTATCTGCTTCATCCGTCCTACTGCCTTACCCATCTACCCAATGCACTAACCCGCAAAGTCTTCTTTCCAGAACTTTCTCCCTGATCCTTTCTTCTCCTCTCCTGAACAGTCTTGTGTCAACTAGTGCAGCCAACTACCCTCCCCTCCTTCAACTGATCCCCTGTTGAACCTTGTTCATGCTTTGGGGTTCAACTCCCATGTTCCAGTGACTTCCAAGGACCCAGCTCAGCAGAGCCCAGCCCAGTGGCCCCTCATGGTTTGGGAGTGCGAGGACAAGGAACGAGCATCTCAGGACATGGGCCCAGTACCATGGAGTGTGGGCAAATAGCAGTTTTTATCTATCAGCTAGGGCTGGAGCGACAGCACAACGGGTAGGGCGTCTGCCTTGCACGCAGCCAACATGGCCAACCCGAGTTCGATTCCTCCGCCCCTCTCGGAGAGCCCGGCAAGCTACCGAGAGTATTCGATATGCCAGACACAGTAACAACAAAGTCTCCAATGGAGACGTTACTGGGCCCGCTCGAGCAAATCGATGATCAACGGGAGGGCCTTTACTTTACTTTACTTTTATCTATCAGCTGGATTCTCTTGGCCTACTTGGAGGCCAACTCAGCCATCCAAGAGCATTCCTGGCCCCCAGAATGCAGCCATCAGCCCTTGCAGCGCCCCCCCCCCCCACAGCCAGCACTGTGGCCAGGAGCCCTGACACCGACCTCTTGGCGATAAACGGGGCCTGCGTCTCCGGCGTAGAGCTGCAGAGAAAGGTGGGAGGTCACGTGGGAGCAGACCCTGCCCACTGGGCCACCCTTCCAGCCCATCACCCTGTGCAGGCATAGCCAGACCTCGCACCTTCCTACAAGGGACCTCAGAGAAGTCCTGGGGGTCACTCTTGCTGCCCCCCACCCTGTCGTTACAGGCTCACCCGCTGCTCTTCTTGGCCGCTGACAGAACATACGAATGCTCCCGGGGTGCAGTCTTCCTCAGCACGCTGCTGGCAGCGTCCGACCTGTGTTAGGTGAGGGACAGACGGGACACGGAGGAGAATGGAGGCCAGGAAAACTGGAAGAGGGAGGCACCCAATGCCAATGCCTGGCTCCCCCTGCCACTGCAGACTGCCTGTGGGGTGCCAACACGGGCCCATCAACGACTTCTTCCAGGGCACCTTGAGCGGCCTGTCTGGGCCACAAATGTGCTCATGACCTGTAGACACACTGATCTGAGGTCCTGATGCCTCCCTCTCACCCTTCATTTCTGACTTCCCAGACTCCCACACACTGCCCACCCCCGAGCCCTGCCCACCCGCACTGTTACCTGCGTTTCTGCTCATCAGGGGAGAAAGGCACCTCCTCCTCCTCAGTGTCCCCCGATGTGGAGCTGCGCCTGATGTTGTAGGGTGCCCTGGGGGCACAGGAGATCACTGAGCCCAGCCCCCACCACACAGCCTCCCGCCTGCCAGTCTCGGGCTCTCACGGCTTCCGCCACTCTCCTGGCCCCAAACCTCACCCCTCCTCCCCAAAGATTTGCAGTTGCTCAGTGCCACCGCGTCACAGTGCCTGTGCCCAGAGGCCTCTCTGTGGCCAATAGTGCATTTGGGATCATGGGGCACTGCCCAGGCACATGGCAAGCACAGTCCACTGGTACTGGCCATGCCTGTGAGTTGGCGTCCAGATGCCCCAGGCCCGCAGACCAGCTGCCTACGCTTCCTGCTTTGCTCTGAGGCCAGTGGCTGATGGAGGCCTGTCCTGGGTCTGGGAAGACACTCACAGCTTCTTGTAGTCCTCCGTGGTCATCTTGTAGCCGGAAGAAGACAGGCGTGGGGATCCGGCGCTACTGCAGAGGCAAGACACTCCCATGTGCCCGCTGATGGCCCCTGCCAGCATCTCAGCCCAGCCGGCGGTGAAGAGCAGGGCTGGCGGCCCTTCTCAGCCCTGCAAACACCCGTACCTCCCCGCTCCCCTCAGTAGGACGGCTGTCCCCTCCGCCATCCACAAAGTGCTTGGAGGGCAGGAAGAAAGTGAAGAGCAAGCACAGCCGGTCACTGTGAGCGACATGGGGCTTCACGTGGTACTGTGGCACCCCCACCCCTCACCCCCTCAGAGGCAGTCAGGTCCGCCCCTCCACCTCAGCCCCAGTGGCACACCTCTTGGGCGCTCCATTGATCTTCGAGAAGTGAGTCTGAGGCTGGGACGAGCTGTCTATGGGCTTAGTGAACACTCCTCTGCAACAGAGCCCCCCAAAGCATCTGAGCACCCCGACAGGAGGCCGGGGCCTTGACAGAGGTATGGGGAGGGGCACCGCGCTCAGTCACCTACCGAATGATATAGCCGGCAGGAGCCTTGGTGCTCGGGGACCTGGCAGGGAGAAGATGCGGCAAAGAGTGGGCACTGCTGGGGGTCCCGGTGCCAGAGCAGGAGACCCCCAGGCCAGACAGATAGGGCAGGGTGAGGCACTTGCTTTGCAGACTTCAATCCCTGGCATACGGTCCCCCAGGCCCTATCAGGGGTTATCTCTGGGCCCAGAGCCAGGAGGAAGCCCTGAGCATTGCTAGGTGTGGTCCCCGAACAACACAAAAAGAGGAGAGCCTGGTGTAAGCCCCTGTTCCCCAGAAACGTAGTCCGGGCTGCCTCTTCCCTGCAGGAGCGGGGCTCTGGCCTTCCCATACAGGCCAGCTTATGGGGTTGGGTGATAGCTGTGGGCCTCTGGGAATGCAGGGGCAGGGCGGCCCAGGGCTGCACGGTTATCCCGACAGACGTTGGCTTCCTCCAGGCAGCTCACCAGGGATGCTAGACTCGGACCCTGATGGTCCCTGGAGCCCTCAAAGCCATCTTCACCTGCTATGGTCCCTCGAGACTTTACAGATCACGAGTCCCTCTGTGCCACGAGACCCTTTGGGTCCTCCCCAGATCACCTGGATGACCTGAGGCATCCTCACAAAGATTCTTCTCTAGAGTCTAAGCCTGCAACCCCCAGGCCATGCTATCTAAATGCACCCCAAACTCAAGTCCAGGGTAAGAGGTACAGGCCACCAGGCCCAAATGGGTACATTCTCCTTGAAGCTTCCTGGGCCCTGGCCAACCCTGTCAGCCTCACAGGGCTTCATGCCCCCTCCCAGGAGAGGGAGCTGGCGGGAGCAGGAAGGAGACAGAGAGTTGAGGGGCCATGGGGAAGACCAGCTGCCCAAAACTGCCCTCCTGATCATTCGGAGGCTTCCAGTTGGGAGCTCCCAACTCTCCCGGCGTCTTAGGGATGTGGTCTCCATCTGCAGCCAGGGCGAGTGCAGACCTGTTCCTGGCCATCTGCGTAACACGTCACTTTTGAGAGGCCCTGGGGTCACTGCTGCCAACACTCAGCCAAACAGGCCCATGCCCAGGGCCACTTGGAGGAGGGCCCTTGGAGGAGGCAGCGCCTCTTACCTGGCCTTCATGACCTCCCCCGCTGACGAAAAGGATGTGGTCCGACTCCGGCGAGAAGGCAGCTCTCTGGCCAAAGGGGTCAGCAGTCATCCCCAGGCGCCGTGGCACCCCCCACCCCGTGGCCACGCCCCTCCCTCCCGCTCGAGCGCGTACAGGGTGCGGCCGTCGGACTCGTCCTGCTTGGTGATCCAGCTCTTGTCCCCCTTGAGCGTGGTCCGCACCTTCATCTGCTTCAGGACGTTGTTGCGCTCCTCCTCTCCGGGAAGCAGAGGCTTCCCTGCAGGGCGAGGTCGGATGTGCTCAGAACTCAGGTCTCCCTCCGCACCCCCAAGCCCCCAGGCCTCACCTTTGGGGCTGCCTCCTCCAAGGGCGGAAATGCTCATGGCTCGCTCTGCCGCTGGGCTCCAGGCGCACTTGGCTCAATAAGTTCCTGGACGGACGAAAACACAGTGCTCATCAACTGAGCAGCCAGGGTGCGAGCCCCGGGACCAGGTTCTCTCTCCTTAACACTCACTCATCCCTCCAGGCTGCCTGTCCCTAAAGTGAGAGCTAAGATGTGTCCTCCCTCAGAACTCCTGTGATGACCCAAGGCGACAGTCAGGGGGTGCCTGTGAAGTTGAGGGTTGGGCTCCATCTCAGTGGCCCTGGAGGGGTGCGAGGGTGGGACCTGCTTGTGCTTTTCTCTGCTTGGAGTCAAGGGAGGGGGCAGGTCAGGGTGGGCTCTGAGCCTTGTGGGGGATGGGACACTGGGGGACGGAGCTGCTTTCCAGAACAGGATGAGTCGCGCTGCAGGGACACAGCACAGCCTGGAGCTGACACCGCCCGCCTCTGGGGCCCAGTGAGGGGCTGGGAGGAGCCGAGGCTGCGGCCTCCCTCTCAGGGTCCTGCCTGCCTCGGGGCCGAACATGGTCTGGACATGTTTCAGCCTAGGTCAGGGCACAAGCTGGCCTTCCCAGAAACTACCCTTGGGGAGCAGCCCCTCATCTCCATGCATGGGGGCTTCGTGTGCCCACCTTGCTCCCAGGCAGCCATGTCCGATTTCTCGTGAGCAGAGGAGTACAGGGGCTCCTTGTCCCCACACTGCCGGGTCCCTCTGGGTCCCCTGACCCACAGTGCCCTCAGTTCCTGCTGGTGATCCTTTTTTTCCTTCAGAAATGCATTCAAGTCACCTTGACGAAGCAGAGGAGCTGCTTAGACCATCAGGACAGACGTTGGCACGAGCAGAATGACAGGCAGAGGGGCCACTGGGAACTCAGGTCACAGGGCCAGGGACATGCTCGACTGCCCCTCAGACCCTCCTTCCAGCTAAGTTCCAAGACTCAGAGCTCATCAGCCCAGTAGGCCAGGTAAATGCCGGGACTGATGCTTCATGGCAGAAGTGGGATGTCTGGGGCCCGAGTAAGGCATTTGGCCTTCATGAGGCCAACCCAGGTTCAATCCCAGGGACCCCATATGGTCCCCCAAGCACCACCAGGATTAATTAATTCATTCTTTCTTTCTTTCTTAATTAATTAATTAATTAATCAATTTTTGTTTTTTGGCAAAAATGCCAAATCACACCCAGCAATGCTCAGGAGTTACTCCTGGCTCTACACTCAAGAATTACTCCTGGTGGTGCTCAGGGGACCATATGGAATGCCAGGGATCAAACCCTGATTGGTCACGTACAAGGCAAATGTCCAACCCTCTGTATTTTTACTCTAGTCCCACCAGGAGTAATTCTTGAGTACAGAGCAGGGGGTAACCCCTGAGACCCATTGGCTGTGCCCCCCACACACACAAAAGCAGCCAAATGTGTTTCTCGGTGGGTTTCTGTATCTGAAAGAGGCAGCATGTAGTGTGTCCCCGGCTCTGAAAGGGTGCACAGCTCCTAGAGACAAGAGGCCTTTGGAGTGGTGAGTCCCAGGCATGGAAGTTTGCAAAGGAGGTGGGCAAAGGAGGCTGAACATCTCTCTACTCTGACACTCCCCGCCTTGGACATTCCAATTTCACTGTAAAGCAGCACCTGGGGTAAGATCTAGACCCTCAAAGCAAACAAGCTCCCCGATCTCCCCCGGGCTTGACTGTCCACCAGGGCAATCCCTCTGTCTTGAACTAGGCCAGTCTGCCACTTCCCACCCCCAGAACTGCCCCTCAACTCCAACTGCGCAGAGCCCCACCCGCCATCACAAGCAAACACAGCAGGGCCGTGGTCGGGTCTCCATGAAAGCTGCAGGCACAGTGCTGCCTCCTCAGACCTTGGCATGGGCGATGGAGACGAGAGGGGTCAGTTGCTTCTGAGGGTCATGGCCAGATGCTAGTGGAGACCTAGCTGTGAGGGCCGTTCACTTGAGCAAGCTCTGCACAGACATTGTCAATGACATCGAGACACACGGTGGTTGACAGACCTTCCCACGCTTGGCTCCTGCATGTCATTCAGCAAAGGGTCCAACTTGACAAAGATGCACGTGTAGAAAGGGCTCAGTAGGTAAAACCATGCCCAGCTAAAATGCCCAAGGACAGACACCTGTGTCTCTCAGCCAGCTCTGCTGGGCATGTGTGGTTGTGACACGGAGAGGAATGACGTTCGAGCTGCTGTGGAGGGAGCTAAGGACGGGTCTGACAGAGAAGTAGGGTGGTGGCTGAGGCCGTTTCCTGAAGTTCTCTCTCCTCCAGCAAACCTCTCAGGACCCAAGGGACACTCCAGGACCTCCCAGGGTCAACATCCCAGGGATAGATACAGTGAGGACCATGACATTTAGGGTCCAGGGGCGACCCCTTCCCCCTATGGCCTTTGGAACTCCTGTGATTGACATTCCCTGGCACTGCCATGAGGTAACATCTGGGGCCAAAGCCACGGCCCTGCCACGCATCCATGGAACTCCACCACCCCTCCCTGGGTATGACGTCAGAAGGGGCTCCCCGCACACCCTGGGCTGCTGCATCCACCCCAGTTCATTCACTGACCGCCCCCCCCCCCACTCAGACCTGGGAGCAGGACAGAGGGCCCAATCTGGTCTTTCCCTGGGCAAAGGGCCCCTGACAGGTGGGCACCGGCCCTGGGATCAGGACACACCATGTTGTTGGCCTGTGTACACGGCCAGGCACAAGTATGCAAATACGCGACAACTCGCAAGCCTGTAGGCAAACCCAGCTGGGGAGAGTGCCAGGAAAGTGGCCACTGCTTGGACAGCACCTACAACTTCCGACAAGGTGTGGTGCTGAGCTCCAGCAGCCCTTCACACCCGAGGGAAGGGAGTCCCAGGACGCACGACTGAGCAGGAGAAAGTGGACTCTAAGGGGGACAGCCTGGCCGGCTGCTGAAGGGAGGAGGGGCAGTCAGTGAGTTCGCTCAGCCTGTCCTTCCTCCCTGCACAGGGCCTGGCAATCCCCAGGCAAAAACAGAGGTTACTAAAGTAGAAAGAGAGGATAGGGAAATTTGTCTGCCATAGAGGCAGGAGCAGGGTTGGGAAGGGGGAGGGAAACTGGGGACATTGGTGGTGGAAAATGTGCCCTGGTGAAGGGATGGGTGTTCGATCATGGTATGATTGAAACTCAAACATGAAAGCTTTGTAACTGCTTCTCATGGTGATTCAATAATAAAAAAAGAGGTTAGGAAAGAGCACTGGACAAGGAGTCCACACTTTCATTCTAGCAGCAGTCACTGGGCGTGTCATCCCCTGTAGCTAATGCCAAGGTTCGCTGCCCATGGTGAGGTTTCAAGGAAGCAAGCCTTGTATCTGGTCACGGAGGGAGGCAAATGACCATATGGGGACTCCCTGTGGCCACTCCAGGACCCCAGCATCGCAGGTAGTGTGATTTCTCCCTCTGCCTGCCAGTTTTCCCTGTGTAATAACCCTCAGGTTGGGGAGTGTCCGGCTGAAAGCAGAGATGAGCCAGTGGACACTCACTATGCCTGGCTGGGAACGGCACCAGCAGGGCGGACCTGTGGAGGCCACAAGCCCCAGAGCACCATTGCTAGCCCTGCACTGGGCCCCCACGCATGCACATGACCCACTGTCCAGCTTTGGACCCACACAGACTGAGGCCAGCACTTGGCAGCCAGCCTGATTCTCTGGCCCACGGGGCTGGGATGATCAAATGTCCCATTTTCTGCAGCAGCGCTGGCGAATGAGGCCATGCTGATCCCCGCTCTCTGGCCTGAGCAAACAGGTCAGTTTCATCCAGGGAGGGACGGACAGATGGGCCAGGGCCGACGTGTGGGAACGCAGGCTGCAGGCTGAGCAGCTGGGCCACGTAGGACGCCCTTGCCCGCGTCGGCCGCTCAGCACTGAGCTCTCAGGAGCCCCTAGTGCCCCTCCTGGCACAGCTGCCGAGCAGCGGCTGCGATGCGCCTGTGATACTCGGGGCAGAGACTGGAAAAAGAGCTGGAGGAGACTTGGGTTGCAGAGGGAAAAAATGTAATATGGAAAAAAAAAGGCATGGAGGGAGTATTTGTAAATGTGCTTTACAGGTAAATGACTTCTGCATGAAAGTCTGGAATTTCACCTCCTCCCATCCCACCCCCAACAGCCCAGAATCTAGACTTCTTGGCGTCAGCACTGGAGGGACCCTGGGAGGGAGACGTCTGAGGCCAGCCGGCTCCCTCCCCACCAGACAGTGGGGAGCTGGAGGCCTGAGGGGGCACCCGGGAGAATGGGGCCACCCATCACTCGTGCGGACAGATTCCTCTCTACTCTCCCACGCCTTTTTCTAGACACTGGCGGGCTAGCTACGAGCAATGGTTTGGGCAACGGGCCCAAGAGGTTTCTTGGGCTCAAGGGCCAGGGAGAGATTCTGGGCAGGGCTGAGAGGTCTCTGTGCTGGGCGCAGCACGGGGAGGGCAGGCGGTTAGGCAGGACCAACAGGGTCCCATGAGCCCTGACCCCAACAGGACCCCGGGTCATAGTCACCTGCACCCAGGGCTCTACCCCGACCTTCTCTCTCCCCTTTTGGGAACCCCATATGCAGCCCCCACCACAGCAGACCCAAACAGGGAAACCGTCCCTCCCTCCGCCCTCCCAGCAGACTAATGTGCCCAGTAAATCCCTTTAGTCCTGATTACTGTGATCATGACTGTGGCTCAAGAGGGCAGGTTCTGAGTCGGCCCCTCCGGCCACCCAACTCGGCCACCCACCCACTCAGTTCCCAGCGGCCTCGACACACCCTCAGGAGTCCCCTGCGCAAGCCCTGATTGGGGGTAGGAAGATGGAGAGTAGAAAACGTTTTTCCAAAGCCACAGGCTCATTTCCTCAACAAGCATTTACCCAGGCTCCGGGCGCATGGGGGCCCTCAGCTCAGGGTGCCCCAAACCATGAAGGAATGAAGTGCTCCCAGGGCAAGTTACAAATGTGTCCACACGCGATTCCAGTACGCTCCCACACATGCGCAGGCAACTACTGTTCCACAAAACTATCCAAATGTCCCTCAACCCCACATTAAATCCTAAGCTGTGTATGCACGTGTAATATGTTGCCAAAGCATCAAACCAGAACACACACACATGCACACACACTGGTTTAGGGACACAATACCTGGCGGTGCTCAGGGCCTTCTCCTGGCTTTGCTCCTGGCAGGCTCAGAGGCCATATGTGGTGTCAGGGACCAAACCCAGGTCAGCTGCATTCAAAGCAAGCACCCTACCCCCTGGACTAGCTCTCCAGACAAACCTGAATAAATACAGCAGCTTATACAAAGCTTGATCTTACCCCAGAATCTAATCTACTAGCATGAGCCGCCAAAAGAGCAACTCAGATGTTATCACCCACAAGACCTACAATTGACACGCTCACATGCTTATTTGCTGAACGAGGTCCACACCGGCTGCTGTGGCCATCCAACCCCCACTCCCAGCTTCACACAGTCAGGCAGATTCAGATTCGAAGCCACCCTCCCGAAGTCCTATTGTGAACAAGTCTGAAGTCACTGAAAGCCTCAAACACAAACGCAGCAAGGACAGTCAGCCCTGGTGCCTGGTGCCCACACATGTGTGCATGTAATGGAGGCGATGCCTGGAAGCAAAGAGTAGGCAGGGACTCCCCCCTTCCCGTGCCCGGCACTGCAGAACAACCCTCTGAAGCTCTCGGAGAAGGTCCCCAAGTCAGTGGAGTGACATGCTGAGCCCAAATCCAGGGACCAGACCCAAGGGCCAGACCCAAAGACCGCCCAGCTGTTCCTGAAGACAGTGTCAAAGCTGGGGCCGAGGCCACATGTCCGGTGAACCTAAGGGGTGGTTGTAGTGCTCCTCCCTCTGGAAATGGGGGCATCTGCTCTGTTCCTTACAGCTTCCTTGGGCGTCTAAAGTGCCCTTTGGGCATCAAACTGCCTTGGGCTGCTCTAGCTGCAGGATTCTGCCCCCTTCTCAGCCTGCTCACCTCCAGCCCCACCCCAGCGCCCAATGCGGCCAAGGCGTGGTACGTGCATGCTCTCACCAAATACAGATACGAGGTCCACTCCCAAGCCTCAGACAGACCGCGAGTGGGACGTCTGGCCTCAGTGTTCCTCAGGGAAATGACCCAGTCCTGCCCACCTCTGGTCGGTTACTGTCTCCCTCTGGATCAATGTCATTCTCAAAGAGAATGAAGAGAACAGGTCAAAAATGTTCGTGGGAGAGGAGGATCCAGGGCTGGGCAAGTCCAGATAAGGCTTCGAGTCCAGTAAGGCTTCTAGAGGGTTCTTTGTGCTCCTTGTGTGAGTTAAAAACCAATCTGATATAAAGTGAAAAGTGAAAAGGGAAGGGAGAGGGGGGAGAAAGTGATGGAGACTGGAGAGGCATCCGGAAATGGCCTCAGAATGGATTGCTTCATTGCAAAGCAGGAAACTGGAGTTCCCCAGAAAAGGGGTGACTGTGAACTTCCCTTCTGGGTGCCCTCAGCTGAATAAGCTTGACCAGGCCCTCAGAGGTAGCCGCAGTGGTCCCAGTGCTCTGTGGTCAGGACACAGGTGTTCTGCCTGCAGCCGACGGTGCTGCATGTGTTCAGGGGCACATCGGGGGGAGGTGAGCCAGGTTCGAAGCCAGGCTAAGCGCCAAGCGGTGCCTCCCTCTGCAGCCACACGCCCAGCCTGAGCTCATCGGTTCCACGTCACCAGCCACCCGCCAACTTTCTGACCCTGATCCCCGGAAGCAATGACAATGACCTCCGCGCGTCCCTCTCATGAGGCCACGACTGGAGTGAGGCCCAAGGACTTCGAACTCTGAAGCCACCATCCTGTGGCCCCACCAACAAGACCCTGCTGGTGGGGCTGAGTCTCAGGCTCCCCTCTTCAGCTGAAATGGGGCAAAGGCTGGAGAGCCAGATTTGGAGACTTGGCACGTGACAGTTTGGCACCTGTGCCAGAGACCTGGAAGGCTGCCCTACGGGGGTCACTAAGAGGCCTTGGTTGTTCCAGGGTCACTACCCTGAGGTGGGGAGGGGGCTCCTGTTGGGCCTGAGGACAAGCAAGGTGCACAATTTTCAATCCGGCTCTAACTCCTTTCTGAGTATCTTCCCAACAAAACTGTCAATCCTTGGCCCATGTCTGACCCACCCTCCTGGACTTTCTGCCTGCCTGTAGGGGGCAGTGTCTCAGCAGGTGCTGACGTGGGGGCTGCCGACATGAGAATCCCCAAAGGGCACGTGAGCCATGACATGGTCAGTGTCATGCCGCTATTGGCTCCAAGCCCGTGACATTTTCTGTCTGTCCTGGGGCTTCAGGCAGGAGATAGGTAGGGGCCTTCCCAGAGATCCTAGCAGGGATACCCCTTCCTTGGAACTTCTGCCTTAGAGCACTCAGAGCTGCCTCACCCCAGGTGGTCATGAGTCACTCCTGTCGCTGACAAGTGTGTCCAGAGCATGGACACAGACACCCCAGACTCTGCCTGTGCTTGCCCCGCCAACCTGGTGGCTTTTATGTGCAAATCTGGGGCCTCACCAGGCTGGGAACTGATGGCAGCCAGGCAGGGAGGACAGGGGTGGGCACGAGTAATCCTGCTTCTTCCCATCGTGCTGTGGCCTCAGACAGGAGCTGAACAGGACAAGCAGCCAGGCTGCTCCCACTGTTCAGAGCAGGACCCAGAGTTCTGACACGAAAAGGTACAGTCCCCGGGGGTCTGGGAGTTGGTGGGTGACTACGACCATAAGTGCACGCGCCTGTCAGTCCAGGGGACCCTTCTGCGCCCACACCTAGAGACCATGAGCATGAGCACTGTGTGAGGAGTCAGGGGCGTTTTCTCACAGTTGTGTTGAGATGGGCCGCACCGTGTGCCACAAAGTCAAGGCCATGTGCAAAGGACTTGGTGACATGCCGCTGTTCCAGCCACTGGGGTGGCCCCAGCCTGGGCAACTCCCCAGCCAACTGCCTTGAGCCCCAGCTCCCTGCCCCCATCCATGCCAACAATCCAGTCCCAGAGCTCAGAAGATCCTGCTGATAACTCACACTGACACTTGATTCGGCGCCTTCAGTCTGAGCAGCTACCTGTGGAGGGGAGGGAGAGCTCACCCTGCTTCTGCTTTGTGCTCCCTAGCCTGTGGGAGCTCGCAGCCTCAGTTTTCTTACCTATATAATGGACACACGGTGAGGGGCTGCTGGGCAGGCAGGCGACTCTCAGAGCCTGGGTCCCAGATGCTTCGGAACAATCAAGGCACCTCTGTCTTGCAGCCAGACCCGGCGGCACAGGGGGACCGGCCCGCCTGGGAAAGTAGGAGATGAAAATGGGAGGCAGGCAAAGATTACAGACGGGGAAACTGAGGCCACGCAGAAGCCCTGTCGCCCGGGCTGAACACGGTCCCCCGCTGCCTGTCCGAGGCGACCCGACAGCCCTACCTGGCGCAGGTGGCTGGCTTGCGGCTCGGGCGGGCGCGGCTCCCTCAGGTGGGCAGCACGGGCGGGCACGGGTGCGGGCGCGGCGGGGCGCGCGGGGCGGCAGGAGGCACGGACTGGGCTCTCGCTGCAGGAGAACAAACAGGTTTTCTCCGGGCGCCCGGAGCCTCGCCCCTCGCCCCTCCCCTCGGCCGGCCCCTTCCCCTGCCCTCTCCTGGGGTAGGTAGATGCGCCTGGCACATTCCTCGCATTCTCCCGCCAGTGGCCCCGGCTCGCCCGCCCCTTCTCGCCCCGCCCCGCGCGGCTGCTGGAGAAATCAAGGCCGGGCTCCCCGCGCCCAGCGCTGCCGCCGTGGACAGCCTCCAGGCCCGGCCGGCCGCCACGTGAAGGGCCCCGGCTGCGCTCCCACTCGCTCGCGGCCAATGGCTTGCACAGATGCGGTGGGTGCCGGCCGGCGCGCACCACCGTTCCTAGATCCATTTTACAGATGGAGATCCCAGACAGGGCCCTCAAGGGGGGGCTGGGGGCTGGCGGCTGACATCATGCAGGAAGTCCCGGGGCTGCGGAGGGGGAGAAGAAAGTGCGGGAGCTCGCTCTGCCTTGGCGCTGTGGCTCCCCCCCACCACTCCAGCCCGGAGAAATTCTCCTCCTGGAAGGCCATGCTGGGGTGGGGGTGGGTGCCGGGGGACGCACCCTGTCCGCTTTGCGGAAACCTCATGCATGCACTTGAACAAGTGGCATGGCGTTCACGCACTCATGCACTGCGCTGGCAGGCTGCTGGCCCTGGTAGAAGCCCTTGCTCCCTACTGCGTGGCCGGGGGTCTCCAATGGGGACAGCCAGGCCAGGAGCCAGCAGAGGGCATAGAGCCTGCGGCGGGATGATGATGGCATCAAAAGGCCAAATCAGCAGATCCTTCCTCGGCAGGTGCAGTTCCACTGGTGTCTGTGGTGGTGGCCGCTGTCAAGGGCCAAGGCCCTCCATGGCCCTTCAAGGCTCTGACCCCCAGCACCAGGATGGTTTCCCAGCTGTTTGGCACGTTCCGGCCCTGCTCTGACTTTCACACAGTGCTCACAAGGGCCCCTGCTGGCTGGGAGCCACATTGTCTCGGAGCCCCACCTACCACAGACCAGCCACCCTGCCCCTTTGGCCAGCACCACAGTCCAGCCACACTGGCCTCTTCTCACCTGTCAGCCCACAAAAAGTGCTCCCTCCCGGGGAAATTTGCTCCAGGGAAGGTTGCCTGGGCCCATGGGTGCCAAGCTAACACTGCCCTCTTCTTGCAGCCTTCGTTCATGTCTGTGAACCGTCCTGAGAACGCTGGGCTTGAGCCCTTCTTTCTGCCCAGTCCCCGCTGATGACACCCAGGCAGCCCGGCGGCCCCTGTCACCAAGGTCACTGCGACCTTCGTGGTGGGTCAGAGGAATGATCAGAGGCACGAGCAGGCCTGCTCGCCTTCCCCTTCCCGGGCTCCACACGCACAGAGCCGTCACAGTCCCCCAAGTCTCTGGCCGATAAACTCCCCTCGGCCTCCAGGCTGGTAGCCAGCGCTGACCACCACTTTGGCCTCTGGAGCCTCCCACCCCCTTCCAGAGCCCCGAGCTTTAGGACAGGGATGAAGGGGCAGTTGGTTCTGTCCTCCCCAAGGCCACTGACAGAAACAAGTCAGCGAGATATCCCCAGCCCGCAGCCCTTCCCATCTCCTGGTGATTCAGCCCCTGCCCAGGCCAGATCCGCCACGACAGCGCCAGCCAAGGGACAGGCCTGCCAGGCCCTGCAGCTGATCTCGTCTGCGAACGGGTTTGACTTGCACGGTAAGTGCCCCGCCCTGCCCTGCCCACCTGTTCACTGCCCCCACAGAATCCCCCCGCCCCTGCCAGAGCACCCTGAACCTCCTCACAGCCTCTTTGAGGCCCCTGCGACTCCCTGGGCTCCCTTATGTCATCGTCCTCCTGTCTCCTGGGACTGGCCTGCCTTTCCTTCCCGACACCAGCGACCTCGGCACGCTCAGCTGCAGCACCAGCTCCTCCCTGAATTTGACCCTGGGTCCCCCTCATGTTCGAGTCCCAGCCTAGCTCGTGCCTATCCCTGCCTGGACTCAGTTCAGCCCTGTCCGCCTTGACTCACAGATCTCTTGGGCCTGCATCCCGTCCCTTTCCCGTTCCTAAGTGAAAGATGGGGCCAGGCCCACTCTCCTGGCGGGGAAAGGGGCCGACTGAGGGCACAGCCATGGGAGCTGATCGAGACCCCTTTGATGTGAGGAGCAGCAGTGGACAGCAGTGTGGCCGGGCCCTGGCTTGCAGCCTTCTGGAACTCAGATGTGGCAGGCAGGCCTCATAGCCCCAGGGTTGCGAACAGAACCCGGATCACTCTCTGACTGCAAAGTTCCCAGGCCAGGGAGGTGAGGGGCAGTGTCTGGGGCCAGCGATCACCTGCTGCCCCCCCCCATGTGGGTGCCAGAGGGAAACAGAGGCACAGCTGGGTCCCAAGCCAGACTCCAGTTGATCTGGACTGGGTGCTCGGGTTCACCTGCACAGGGCCAGGCTCCTGTTCTCACCCTCTTCCCCACCCTCCTGCTAGGGACTGCCCTGCCCTGCCGCCTCATCCTCCTAAGCCCTTCGACCAGTTCCCACTTGCTGGGTGACTCGACCGGCTCCAAGCAGGGTGCGTCCCCTGGGGGCAGGGGTCCCCAGGGCGTGGCTGTGCCTGCAGTGGGCCCTGGGGAGCCCAAGCCAGTGGCCGGGCCGGAGTCTTTCACAGAACTCAGCACAGGGCAAGCTCCCATCCACACGTACACCAGGCTCTGCCTCTGGGCAGCCCGCCCCCGCCCCCAGCCTGCTCTGTGCAAAGGGGCTGGGCCCTCCCTGGCACCAGGCTGCCCTGCACCCAATGCCCCCTTGGGGTCTCCTGACCCTGTCCTGCCCAGGGAGTGGCCAGCAGGGCCTTGGTGCAGGTCCCACATGGGTGGGAGAGGCCAAGCACTGCAGTTCTATGGGGAAAAGTCTTGCCATCTGGACACTGCCCGCACCCCTCCACCTCCGAGCACGGAGACTCGTACACGTGGCATCTGCCGCTCCGCAGCCGGCCCTGAGCCACCCGCCCTCCCCGTGCTTGGCCATCAGTCTTGGCCCGGGTGACCTGCTGCCCGAATGCAGACAGCTTTTGTCTTGAGCCAGCCCTGCCGAGCACGAGTGCACGCAGCGAGCCCAGGCTCCACTGGCAGATAATCCCCGCATGCTGCTTTAAGAATCATCCACAGATCGGAAAAAGAATGTTCTAATTGGAAAACCTCCCCGCCATGGTTTTCCGGAGTTTTAGTACAGTTGGCCGGCAAGGAGGCTCCTGGGATGAGGAGGAAGGGAAGTCAGGAGGAGCAGCCAGTGGGCGCCCTGCCCAGAGCCCCCTCATCCCCCGGCTCCGTCGCTCAGCTGGCCAGCAAGGGGCCATGCGAGGCCCCAGGCCTGTCAGCAGCCTGGAAGCTGGAGGCATCTGGCCTGCCGGAGCCCCAGGCAGTAGCGAGTCCCCGGCCCCCTCCTCACACATCACTGACTTCCAGGCTCCCCTCACAAGTCCAGGCCCAGAAGGAAAGCGGAGTCGGAGTTGGCTCACCCCAGATCCCGCCTGAGGCCCCTGGGCTGGGTCACCTGGGAGGGGAGGCACAGGTTGACCTGAGTGACTGCAGCTGTCTGCAGGGAGGGACCCACTCTGGGTCTCTGGCTCGCCACAGGGCCTTGCCACTCCACTTGAGGCTGCCCACCTGGGAACGGGAAATGGGGGCTCCCCGCTTTGCATGGGGCCTGGTGTCTGTGACTGCTTCTGGAAAGCTTCCGGAAGGGCAGTTCAGGGTGGCTTCCTCATCCAGCTGGGTGCAGACTGTAATGTGGGTATGGAAGGAAGGGGCTGGGTGGGCTCTACTGGCAAAGGGGCACCTGGCCCTGGACTTAACCCCAGAGAGTTCAATTCGGACTCAGCACTGACCCTTTTGCCCTTCTCCTTGTCCCCCGCCTGACTTTCAGAGGCTCGAGCCCTAAGTACCACCTGTATCCAGAGACACACTACCCACAGGTACCGTTGACGGGTAGATGATTGATAGTTCACTGAGGAGAAGAAAAACTGCTTCTCAGCCACTAGAGCCACGTTCCGAATTCAGTCACCTTTTGTGGCCAGTGGTCCAAAGCTCTGCACTGCTGCCTTCTCTGAAATGGCCCCCCTCAGTGGGGGCTCCCCGTGGCCCCATCGTACCTTCTCCGAATGTTCTAGTCGGTCTCGGGATGAAAGCTCACCTCTGATGAGTCTCAGGCCATCTGCCACGCTCATCTCCACCCCAACCTTTTGAACTGGAAGAGAGTGACAGGGCCAGAGAGCAAGCTCAGCACCCAGGCCCCCGGGCGCTTGCTGCCATCACAGGCCTTCTGGGACATCCACCTTGACATGTCCAAGTCCTGAACCATGGCCAGCCTGCAGTCCTCTCATGGGCTTCCTCACCTCTGGACCTTGAAAGAGAGTGACAGTGGGCACTGACCATCCATGGGTCCTGCTTCTCCCCACCCGTGAGTCCTACTTTTCTTCTAGCTACTCTCTTTCTCAATTTTTTTTTTTGTTTTTGGACCCCACGTGGTGATGTTCAGGTCTTACTTTTGCCTCTGTGCTCAAGGATCACTCCTCATGGGGCTCAGGGGACCATAGGGGTACCAGGGAAAGACCCGGGCTGGGCCCTGTGCATGGCCAAAGCCTTACCCACTGTACTATAGCCCTGACCCCTCTAACCACTTTTTTTTCTGTCCAGCTAGAGTCAACAGCTCTTGCCAGCATCTTCACCTTCCTTGCCCAACTGACCCTCTATCATACCCCCCTGACATAGCATCTGGAAAAATCTAAACCATGGTTTTCTTCAGACCTTCGAGTTTGCGGTGATGAGATTTCTGAAAAAGGATATACAACAGTAAAGAATATAAACTCTGTGCCAACATCAATTCCTAGATTCACCCTGTCTCCCCTTCACAAAACTGTTCCACCCTGTGAGTGATTGTCCCTTTCTCTTCTGCATCAGGAGAATGTTCATGTCCCCTTGGGCATTCACATCAACATTTTAAAGAAATCATTTTCCTTGACCATTGAGACTGTTCTGCTTTTCTGCCCGTCTGTTGAACAAATATCCCTGAAAGGCTCATTTAGACTCACTATCTCTCTCCCTACTCTCATTTGCTCCTCAGGAGTCCCGCCCTATCACTCTTAAGATGGTCCTTGTTGAACGATGATGTTGGTGAACCTCAACCATGATGATGATGTTCATCTGTGTTGGCGAACTCAAAACTCACAGCTCCGTCCTTTCTCGACCTCTTAGCCACAGTTCATTTCTTCTAGGAGACACTGCCCTTCCCTGGAAATACAGACGATTAGGAGCACAAACTGTGGGTCCGAGCCTATGACCAATTATGCAGCCTGGGCAAGTGACCTTCCATTTCTCACTTGGACACCAGAGGTGATGATCCCAGCATCTCCTCCTGGGTGTTTGATGTATCCATGGGTAGCACACAGAGAGCACTTAGAACAGAATCTAGC